TTGCATTACTGTATTGATGGGAAATGGATCCAGTCCAGCGTTGGCTGCATAACTGCCAGTCAGAGGCAGGAAGGGTAAACTTTCATCATGGCTGTCAGGGACATCACTGCTGCCTTGTTTGACCGTAAATCTTCCTAATTGTGACAGAATACTTCAACATCATTAATTAAACATGTTTTCATTTAAAAGCACTCGCAGGGCGCCGGCTGGGTGCTCAGGGTAGTCTGTGTGTGTGTGTGTGTGTGTGTGTGTGTGTGTGTGTGTGTGTGTGTGTGTGTGTGTGTGTGTGTGTGTGTGTGTGTGTGTGTGTGTGTGTGTGTGTGTGTGTGTGTGTGTGTGTGTGTGTGTGTGTGTGTGTGTGTGTGTGTGTGTGTGTGTGTGTGTGTGTGTGTGTGTGTGTGTGTGTGTGTGTGTGTGTGTGTGTGTGTGTGTGTGTGTGTGTGTGTGTGTGTGTGTGTGTGTGTGTGTGTGTGTGTGTGTGTGTGTGTGTGTGTGTGTGTGTGTGTGTGTGTGTGTGTGTGTTTACAGTCATGCACACAGTGTATGTTTGTGTTTGTGTGTGTGCACCTTGATATCCCCTGTATGAGTGGGTGGCTTAATCGTCATGTTTATTTACACTCCTGTTGTCTGCAAACAGCAGGCAGTGGCGCAATGGGTTTGAGCCAGCCCTTAAGGAAGTAAAACAGCAGAAATTAATTTAGTCAATAGCCAAAAACAAAGGCTTATTCTTAGAATTCCATTCATTATTCAGGAAACTGTTTATGATACGTATTCATTTTTTATGCCTTGCCTTTTGGGTTTAGTGCCCCACATCTCAGAGAAGGAATTATACAAGTGCATGCACAAAGGAGTGGAGGAAGGAGGGAGGAGGGAGGGAGGTAGGAAGCGACAGAGAGGGGGAATTGTGTCCTCTCATTGTTCAATTAAGTCTGTCGGTAATGATCAAGATGAGATGATGGCCATCTTCCTTTTATAGATACTAATCTGTGACTGCCTGTGGAATAAGGAAAGCGCAGTATGGACTCCATGCCTTTGTTTCTGGTATAATAGACTTGAAAGTGTGTATGAAAGGTTTCTGGTGTTGCAATAAAAGTGATGTGAGCATGTGATGTATTGTAATAGAGGGCCTTCTCGCTGTCAGGTGATTATGTTAATGTATAGTGCATGGTTGCAGAGTTCACAACGAGCACTCTGACTGGCATTGAGGTCTAATCAATTTCATTGCTATTACTGAACAGAAATAAATAAAGCTGATGGCTGTGGTTAGGGTAATTATGCCACAGCACAGTGAATTGTTTGATTTTCCTTATTAATTGTATTTATTTAATCCATTTCATGCTTTTAGTTGTGCACTCAGGGACATGGAGAGAATGAATAAATCACTCTTAGGCTCATTAGATTCCCCCTCTGGTTGGGATGTGCCACTATTTTGTCAGAATTAAATTGGCGAGTGTTATAATTTCCCGCTGGTGTGATTCACATGAAAAATATCCACATATCCGTCCACCAGCCCATGTGCAAAGGCACCCACACACACGCATGCGTCTGCTCCACATCTGAACTCCTGACCTTTTCCAGCCGTCTGATAGCCATTGACATTTGCCTCTTGAGCCGAGCTTGCTCACGTGTTGGAGCTGATGGGAATGGATGATGTTATTGCTGGAGGAGGAAAAGATAGGGAAGGAAAGAGGAGCAGGAGGGGGGGATGGGGTTTGAAAAGAGAAGCACCAGGGTAGACAAGCTCCCCGGGAATCCATCTGGACCCCCTGCTCTCCAGAAAGGTCACAGGGCGACTCAACCTTACATCCTCATTACAAAAGAGCCGTCGCTGTGACTGTGGGCTACAATATGGCTTCACTGCTCTGTCACACAACCTGTCATTTGCCCTCACTGTCCCCAGTCATCATGGAGAAGACATACAGGGTGTAGTATTAGATCGCCCTCCTCAAACATTTTGATAGATGCGTAGATTAAAGTGAATATGAAAGATGTTGTGGCAGCGTGGGCTTTGTCTTTGTCCTTGAAGACAGTGGATGGAATGGAGGGCTGCACCTGGTCGCCTGTTTTCAGCACCTCGGAGAAAAGCAGGACGCTCTGCTGCTTTACCGAGGGAGCCTTCTGGTGGCCAAGAGAGGCAGAGCAGTGCAGCTGGTCTGTAAATGAAAATTCAGGATGAAAAACCGCTATGCTTTATACGGTTTATGTGGGAAAACAGTCATTTATAATCGAGATAACAACACATCAATTCACAACTTCTAAAAATTAATTAAAGAAACGTAATTTCTACAATAGATAGATAGATAGATAGATAGATGGATAGATAGATGGATGGATAGATAGATAGATATATAGATAGATAGATAGATAGATCCTTAGTTCATCCCAAATTGGGAATGTATTTTCTTACAGCAGAAATGAGTTCATGTAAAAAAAACTAGATATTGTGATAATGGACCACTGTAGAAAATGGTGTCACTATAGTGTTGTTCACAGTTTTACAGTGTGACTGTGTGTAAGACTTGTTTTGGAAATTGTCAAGCTTCTGATTTAAGCTTTAAGCCTAACTCACCAATAGTATTTATGTAGCAGGCAGCAATTATTTGTATGCTTTTTATTCTTTAAGTAACTTAAAATGTAAACATACCCAGAAAAAAAGATTTGTGCACGCTTAGCGTAAATAGATACCTTGTGTCATCTTTACAAAAATAAAGACTTCATATTGTTAAAAACACTTAACTTCAACCCTTCATTTGCCTCACTGCCTTTGTTAAGGCACAGTGAACTTGAGTAGATCCAGAATTGTTTTTTCAATCTAATCGTGACAAGACTTGAAATCGTCTTAAAGGTCCCATGTCATGCTTTTCCGGTTATTACCCGTCCCCTTGTGTGTTATGAAGGTTTTTATGCATGTAAACGGTCTGCAGAGTCAAAAACCCTCAAAGTACACCCTGTAGGGAGTAAAACTCTAACACAGAAAAGACCTCCCCAAAACGCCTCGTTGGAGATTTCTCATGTTCTTCCTGGGCATCGTGACGTCTGGATACCCAGTAGCCACGCCCAGAGCTATACGGTCATGCGGTACCTGGAACCAAATGGACCAATCCGTGGAGCTGTTACATTACGTCCGCGGAGCCGTTACGTTAAGCCCCCGCTGATTGGTCCAAATTGACCAATCCACGGACTTCCTCACACACACATCTGTGTGCAGGGAGCAGGCAGCTCAGCTGATTTCTCCTCCCTGGCTGCAGGCTGATAACAGACAGTTGGGATCGCGGCGAAATTCTCTCTGCAGACCCATTCTCACAGCGTTTATCAACCTTTTTCTTACTCAATATCAAGCCACACTTATTGTTTTTACTTCGGCTGTGAGTTTGTGTGTGCTCAGGATGAGTTTGGCTGTGTTTCGCTGTGTATCGCTAAACAAGGAAACCACACCTCCACGGAGCTCAGCGCGATTCACAAGGTCCCGACCAATCAGAGCACACTGTGCTCACAGGGAGGGTGGGGGCTGGAGCTATTGGAGCTCCAACGAGCCGTTAAAGGCAGAGAGTGAAATTCAGTAAATACACGTAGTTTACAGAGATGCTGTATGAGAAACCAATGTGAGTTTGGAAAATTGCACAATATAAATCTATTCTAGTATACCTCAACAATGGAATTATGATCAGTGGAAATGGCCATGACATGGGCCCTTTAAATCATGGGTTACCAAAAGACTCGCATCACTACTTAATTTGAGCCGGTGTTACATATATTTCTCAGATTATCTGGGTGTGTGGATGTGAGCAAGACTGCATTGGTTATGTGTACATACATTATGTGTATGTTGTTTGTGCGTGTCTGTCTCAGCAGGGCTTTCTTTGTGTGTTTATGCTTCACTCTGTGCACGGTGGGAGCCGAGTGTCAGTGAGAGCTGAGCGGCTGTTGGAGTGTGAATGCGTGCAGGTTCAGACCCCCCCAACCTGTGTGTAAACAGACCTCAGTGTCCATTGCACGGACATCCTTTGTCCTGCCAAATGGAGATTACAATATGAAAACTGCACAGGTGTTCCAGGTGTAATGTTAGAACTCTGTAGTTATTTATGTGTTATGAGTAGACACTCCTAAAAACTGCACATCGAGTTTGACCTTAAGATTATATTTTTTTGTTACAGTTTAATACTGAGGGAGTACTGCAACAATTTCACCTTACTGCTCTTATAATCCATTTCAGGAAGATATGTTGTATATATTTCAGCAACATTGTACATAATTTTAATAGTATATGTCCATATTTTCCTTCTGTTTTTTTTCTATTCTATATTTATATTTCTTGTACATATTGTTTTTTTAGTTTTTCTTTTATATAATATTTTGTATTCTTCTCCTTCTACTCTTAATGTTAGTTATTCATTTATTTTAACAATACTCTAACTATGTTTATGTTATGCAGAAAAACACCAAAGCATATTGCTCAAGAGCTACTTGGCAATACATTTGATTCTTTTTCTGATATTTGTGTAACTTCTTCTGGAGGGATTTTAATGATTAACAGTAGCTTCATTTTTCTTTTTTGAAAGTGTCTTTGCATGAACAAGCTGAGTCTAACGTGTTATTACTTACTTACCTACTTACTTACTGTTTTTCCTGTTTGGAAAGCATCTGACAAGATAATATAGCCATCAGCCAAAAACTACACATAGCCGGAGCATAAGGAGAGCAATGAAAGATGAACTCTCGTGGAAGGCTGTGTTAATTATTTTTTTACATTAAATGATAGTCAGAATCGATGAAATTATAGTTTTATGGTCCTGCCTAGCTGCCGGCTTCTGTGAGGCGGCAGGGTTTTATGGCACAGACTTGAACTATTACATCGATGGCCATATAACAGGAGTTCACTCTGTAGGCTGCAGTTAAGACTCTTTCTCAGTCAGAATTATTACACCTTTCTTCTCACTTTGAACATCCATGTAACTAGGGCTGTATCAGTTTCTCACCTCGTCCTCTCCTGTCTTCCACAGTGCTCAGTATCCGTGGCGGCCAGGAGGAGGAGCCTCCAGATCCTCAGCTGATGCGCCTGGACAACATGCTGCTGGCGGAGGGCGTGGCCGGGCCGGAGAAAGGCGGCGGGTCGGCGGCAGCAGCAGCCGCCGCGGCAGCCGCTGGCGGCGTCGGAGCAGACAACTCAACAGAACACTCCGACTACCGAGCCAAGCTGTCTCAGATCAGACAAATCTACCACACAGAGCTGGAGAAATATGAACAGGTGGGGGTCATTTCTCAGCTGTTATTATTCTTATTTATTCTGTAACACAAATTAATATTGTCATTTGAAAATGTGCATATGTGGTATTCCCATGTACCACACAATGAATGTGGATGTTACACAGTAATCCTGCGCTAAGCTTTAATTCAAACCCCATAATAGGAATGAAAAAGCACTGTTTTAAATGTTCCACCTTTTGAATACTAGTTTTTTAAGCAACAGTATATTTAATTGTTTTATCATTGTCTCCTCCTCCAAAATCTTCCCACTACTCAGGTGACGACTATGGGATGTGTTGTAATTTCAAATTTCTCTTTTCTGTTTAAATGTGCAACTACTGAAAAAGTTGGAAATCGTCTCGACTGGTGGTGGATATGGACAAAACTTAAAAAAAAATGTCAGTGATTTTAATCTTTATAAATTATTACGTTGTTGACATGCACAAAAATATGTGTCTTGACATAACTAAGTTGCAAACATGTTTACTGTCTTCTCTATGGAGGACAAAGGATGTAGTGGTGGTACATTACACAGATTTACACCAGTTTCAGGGGCGATGAACAATAATCTACCTGACTGCTGAAAAACATTTTATTTTTAATGATAATTAAAAGAAAATGCATGAATGCAGGGATGTAGAATTTACATTTATCCTTTTTATATCCAGTGTATATGCTTTACCCCAATTCCTATGTTTCTGTATGTTTAAAAAAAACATGCAACTGAGTCCTTATCCTCAGTTGTCCTTGCCTGTCCGGTGCATGTTGAAAAAAGTTCCACCTATGAAGCTAAAATCGGAATAAGTCTGTTTAAATGGTATATAAGTAAGCTATTGTCCTCAGAATATTTTAACCAAGCATAATGCTCTTAAAATCAGCTCTCACAGGCCAACTCGTGACACCACAAGCTTTCAGAGATGTTATCTTCAGCAGGCAAGCAGCATTATATCAGTCACACACCAGCTCTTTTCCAAAGACTGTAACATCTTGTCATTTCCTCGGAAGTCAAAGCGTCCTGGGTTTGTCATCTTCTCCGAGGAAGGCTAGTCATCGCTAACTGTCACAGTCAATACACACCTGAGCATTTTTGTGTCACCACGCTATGTACACCTCGCACGCGTATGAGTGAGTAGTGTCTGGCGTGTGTGTGCAAGCAGAACGGCTGCTCTCTGCATCACTTTGACTGACGTAACCCTGGTGTTGACAAGCAACAGACACCTTGACTCTGAACGCAGTCATATCCAGTGACTGATTCAGACAGAGAGAGAGAATGAGGTAGACTGAAAGATGGAGTAAAAAAGAGAGCGAGACAGTTTAAACCTCTTGAACGTTAACGGGACTGAAAGCCTGCTGTCATTTTAGATTTCTCTTCACTTGTCACATTTTCTCTTCCATTGAAGAGAAGTCTTTTTAATATTCAGAGTCTTGCAGCCTCCACTGTATGACTCGCCGCTACATTTGTTTGGCGCGAAACATCGCACTGTCTGCTGCTTTAATTTAGACTATCCATATACCCGCTAACGCTGGTGCTGATAGACAGTCAAAAAGGCTTCTACGAGGCCAAGGCCCACCAGTGAAGGTGCGGCCTCTCCAGAATCCAATTTCAGCCTTTTGTTCATTCTGTAAGTGTTGATCGGCCGTGATAGGTCTTCTTTTTATGAATCCTGTCTGTCTGTGCATCCAGGCGTGCAATGAGTTCACCACCCATGTGATGAACTTGCTGAGGGAGCAGTCTCGCACACGACCCATCTCGCCCAAAGAGATTGAGCGCATGGTCAGCATCATCCACCGCAAGTTCAACTCCATCCAGATGCAGCTGAAACAGAGCACCTGCGAGGCCGTCATGATCCTGCGCTCACGCTTCCTCGACGCCAGGTCTGTGTGTGTCTGTGGGCAAAAAAATGTTTTAGTAGCCATACATTGTGATCCAATATTATTCTTTATTTTAAATATAGGTTAATGTGTTTTTGTTGCCACTGGTCAGATTTTTTTATTTCCTGAATGTCCATTTTTTTATTTTTGTTCCTTTTTGTTTCAGAATTGTTCAAATAAACTGAACTATCCTGATGTAAATAATGAATACATCTAGTGGTTTATCTTTAATAACGTTCTGCTCTGTCTGTTTCCTTTCTGCCAGACGAAAGAGGAGGAACTTCAACAAACAGGCGACAGAGATCCTAAACGAGTACTTTTACTCCCACCTCAGTAACCCTTATCCCAGCGAGGAGGCCAAAGAAGAGCTGGCCAAGAAATGCAGCATCACAATGTCACAGGTAACCAATCGTACAAAATAAACATTATTATTGCTACTCAATCGAGGCCTTGCAGGATTTAAGATTCTATGGTCAATAAGTAAAACTCAAATCTAAATGAACTATTAGCTGGGGGATACAAGACATGTAATTGTATCAATATTTTGCATTATATTAACATTTATGGTCATATATTTTTATATTATTTTAGAAGAAAGTAATATGATCTAAATCTTCATCTCTTTAAAAAAGAAAAATGTGTATGTTGGTGATTTGGTTTGCATTTGGAAGGAGCTAGCCTTACCAAACCAACGCTAATCCGCCACGTGTATTGTGCTAACTGGTCCAAGAAGCATAATTCAGGTTTAGCTATTGAGTATTAATATTCAACACTGCAAGTAAAATGTTACTGAATGTATGCCCTCGGATTCCACATTTGGTAATGTTTAAATCAAAATTCAGTGAAAACATAAATATATGTAAAGATTTGTTACATCCCTCAGCATGTTCCTTCTTGGTGTGTTATCTCATGTGGGATGGGCTGTTATGGTGCTGAAAGTATTACAGTAAGAATTTGTTGCTGATTAATTTCTTAGAGCTCATAGTAAACACACAAATGATATTGTGTAGGTGATTGAATGGAACAAAATCTATTGTCATCTGTGTTTTTAAAACAGACATGTTTTTTAAGGATTTAATTGAAAGATATAAACTGTTTTTCTAATTATACAAAAACAAGTTTAATATTGAGAGCATTGCTAAATGTGCTGGATAAAATTTATATAGATGTCTGTTCATATTATTATTTGTATGGCGGTGTTTTTAATTGAGAAATGTCCAGTCAGAAGGGTTCCACGTAATCTTGGTCATAGAATGCAAAACAGTTTCCAAATGATTTTTTTTCTAGCCCAGTGGTTCTAAATTGGATTGAATTTATTCAATGATTTAAAAGAAACAAATACCACTGGACTGCAGTAATTCTACATGTTAGAAATCATTGAGAATAGAAACACATTAAAGCCTAAGTGCTTATTTCCCTTGTGGTCATCTTGATGTGTGCATGGATATCAGCTTAAATTCATTACGACTCAGCAGCTGTGTTTTGTCATTGCTTTTTTTGACAGGTATCAAACTGGTTTGGGAACAAAAGAATCCGGTACAAGAAAAACATCGGCAAGTTCCAAGAGGAGGCCAACATGTACGCAGCGAGGACCGCCGTCAGTGCAACCAATGTGTCTGCTCAAGGCAGCCAGGCTAACTCCCCATCCACCCCCAATTCAGCAGGTGAGCCCCTACAGACCACTGAGTTATAATACAAATAAACTCTATAGTTAGAAGAATAGGAACATATTATTTGTATACTAGAACAGATAGATGACAAAGAGCACTATAAAGTTCTTATTCTTTGCACCTGATCCCCAACTCAAGATCTCTGGTGTTTTTTCTTTCTAACAGAAGGACTCTCTCTTTCTTTACTAACACAGTAATATAATGAGGCTTTCTCGCTCTTCCCTCTTTTTCCTCCTTTCCTTTGCCGTCTGTCTCTCTCACTCATGTTCTCCGTTTCTCCCTCCCTCTCTCTCTCCGTCTCTGTTATTGACCTCTTGGTCTTGTGGACGTTAATTTTTCCTGCCTCTTGTCCGGTTGACCCTGTGCATGCCATTAAGCTGCTCAGAGGGCAAGCGGAGTCTTTTGTCATATAGAGACTTCGCAACTGTATTGGATTAGGACCGGGTGTTGAAATCAAGTTACGCGATGGTCTCTTTACATCTGGGGAGCTGGGGTCCATTAAAGGACGAAGACAATTCTTTGGGTCTTCCTGCGGATCAATTATTACTTCCTTAATGAAACACTAGCAGCTTGGACATTTAACAACAATACAATCCATAAGGCTTGTTTTAACTGGACTTAAACAGTTTTATGATGATTTTCTGTCTCATGGATCTTGCTGGTTGATTTTTCCTTGTAGATTATGCTTCAGTGATATTCTGTAGCATGTTTGTAGAGAAAGCCTTTTTCATGATGCCGGCAGCCCCCACCAACTAACCCACTCAATGCACTTTTGCTTAAGCATGATCATTTTAACTCCTTTTTCTCTTACTCTTTTCTTCCTTTGTCTCTCTCTTCTCTTTCCTTTGTCCTACCCTCTTGCTCTTTTCCTCTTCTCTGCCTCTGTGTATTCTCAGGTTCTGCTGGCTCTTTTAACATGTCAAATTCCGGAGACTTGTTCATGAGTGTGCAGTCCCTCAATGGGGACTCGTACCAAGGGGGGCAGGTTGGGGCCAACATACAATCCCAGGTAGGCGCCTCTCCAAGCTTACACCCTTTTCCACCAAAAATATGTAGGTTTTTAAACATGAGAAAACCTGCTAGAAAATAGTAAATGTACTCCTTTTCTATTTCTAGTAGATGAGTAGGAATTTCTTTTTTTGCCGTGTCAAGTCTTTAAAACACCGGAAAGAGGGTAGATTATAAATGGTGGTTAATATTTTTATTATTATTTTTATATTTGTCACTTATTCAGTCTCTCCTGAACCATAGTTGCTGAATCTTGTGGAAAGACTAACAAAAACGTTTTTGATGAGATGTTTGTTTGAATGAAGTGTGTGTTATAATGGTCAGCGAGGTAACATTACTGTTGTTGTCCAAGGACTCTGGTGGCTTTAAGGAGAGGATGTTAAATTGTATTTTTTGTACTTAAAATACTTTTTGTACAATTACTTATAATAATTGCCCAAATCCCTGTTGATTGTATAAATTGCTATACAAATAACTATAACGTGTCTCATAGCATGGCACTAGAAAAAGGGAGACAAAAATGAGATCCTCCATCTGGGTGTAATGTATCTATCACTGCCGATCGGTGCTGGAGCCGATAAATATCTGTGACTACTGCAGAATCATTTATCGCTGGAATGAATGCCGAATGTGACCTTTCATACTGAAAACAAATGGCAGGTGTGAGTGGGTTTTTTTTGTCCAGTGGGAAAAAGGGGCTTTAGTGACTGAAAGTCGACAAACTCTTGAGATCGCATTTAAAATTGTTCCACCTCTGTCCGGTCTGGAGTGCAGATGCCAACAGTAACTTGACCTACACAGTGCAACAAAGGTTACACTTAGCCTGAAGCTCTACATTAACGTAGAAGTCATTGTCAACCCACAATTGAGTAGACGACTGCAGACAGTTTTGGAAACGGTGCAACACTCATCAGCACTCCTGACAAGAGTTCACATAGCCACTGGTGCACTGCAGCGCCCTGACCTTGCCCCAGTGGACAGTGATGACCAGCACAATGTTTCTCAGTGTTACAACTCTCACCATAAATTAAGGAATCACCACCCGTGGTAATATTCTCATTTGGTTTCGGTGCTTTTGGCATCATTTCCCTATCCCTCCATCCCCCCTTTTCTATTCAGATCAGCTCTCCAAACGCTTTAGGTCGTTAATGAATATGCAAAAGGACCGAGCCTCATAAGAGGTAAAGAGGTCTTCAGGGTTAGCCTTTTAATTATTAAAACTCATGTTCCTTTAAAAGGGTTATTGTCTGAACATGTAAGAATGGCCTCGCTCTCAGGGTTTCACAATTAAAAGAAAGCCAAGACAAAAGATGAAGTACAACTTCGACTTGATTGGCTTGTTGAGTTTTTTTGTTGGGAAATCCCTGAGGCAGGGGTGTTTTCATGCATAACCTGAAGGGCTGCAGTGGTGAATCTGCGAAGGACATGGAAATGAAAAATCTGACCTCAGTTGCACCACATTTTTATTGGCAGCAACAATGGGTTAACATGTTTTAATGAGTAGATTCATGAGTTCATTTATTTTATTTCAATAGATCATTTAACAGGGTCACACAGACTGTTGGGCCAGAGTTAGAGGTACAGGTAATGTGCATCTGCAGTCCCTTGGCAGGTAGATATTAAAAAACAATTCATACAATTAAAAGCAATACACTAGATTTAGAAATATATACATATATCACACAATACACAACCACACAAAGAAACGATGGAGTCTGCTTGTGTGCCATTGAAAACAAGCCTCTATGTCTGCTTACACAGTGAACAATATTGTGAGTAGTGTGCAGCTACACGTAGAAGAATGACTCACCGTTACATTTTTAATGTCTGATTTTGATGTGTTATTAAAACCCAAATACAAATAAATGAATAATTAGTTACTCATTGTCATTTTTCTTGTTTTTTTGTCCTTTTGCAACGTCTGTTATCCAGCTTGTAATAGCAGCCAAATCATTCAGATTCGTTGTTTGTAACCTTTTCCTGTTTATTGTACCCTTTCACTATCAGACTGACCTTTCCTTGTGCATGGCTGTCTTTGTTATCCAGAGCTTTTGTCTGACCAGGCCTTTTGTCTGTGTCCCTGCCGTTCCAGGTGGATACCCTTCGCCATGTTATCAGCCAGACCGGAGGATACAGTGACAGCCTCGCAGCCAGCCAGATGTACAGTCCACAGGGCATCAACGTAAGACCTGTAAACAATCTCCTTCTGTCCTCCTCTACATTTCCTCTGCTGTCTCACTTTGAAATGAATCCCAAGTTCCAAGATGTGTATAATCAGGGTAACTTACTAAATGTATTGCGATACAATTGCTGATTGCCTGTTAATTCTTTTTAGTGAATTACCTAATCCAAGGATTTAGTAACATGGTTGCTTTGTGTTACTTTTGGATTACTTAATAACAAATATGCAAACAAAGACAAGATAAAAGAAACCTTTTTTGAAAACTTGCAAGTAGCAAGAGAAAAAGTAGTAGTTAAAGGAGAAGAGCTATTCTTCTTCTATCGTTGTTTTTACATGCCTTATGAGAAAACTGGTAGGCAAACTATAGAGGGGGGTTATATTTGACAAAGCATTGCTTTAAGTACACTAGTCAGACTTCATTTTGATAATGATTTAGGCACGTGCACACGCTGGAAGCCAGAACGTGCCCATTACTGTGATGTTGCTCACTTTTAATCCTTTACATCTTCCCTTTAAAGAATCAAAAATGTACTAAAGGTTACATCCTTTTTCTTTCTTATTTCTGAAACAGTGTATAGCTTTTTTTGTAATCCTAATTATATAATGCAGTTCCATATCATTTGTTCCTTCCCATGCCTGTGTATAATATTGGGTCATTCTGCGTGTGCGTTGAGGTGCCACTTAGCAGAGTTCGGGCTGTGGTCCAGCCGGTTGCCCCCCTGCTCCAGACGTGCCCTCAGTGGCAGGAAATGAGGCAGCTACCAGGCTGAGGAGCTGGACACGCTCCTGGTCTGTCGCAGGATATTAGCGTTAGCGAGACACCTGCAGTCGACAGGAACAAGGACACAGGTGTCATCATCCCTCCCGCCGCTGCTCTAACATTGGCATCATAGGGCAAATCATACCTCCCAAGATCAGCTAACAGAAAAAGTTCCAAGTTGCTCATTCTTAAAATAACTATTTAACTAGCCTGTCTAAGGCCGGGTCGGTTTTCTCCACGTTGGGCAGGGCGGGGCGGGGCATGGCAACACTGGAGGCGATGTGTTCGCATGTAGATCCATAGCGACAGGCTGCGCAGGGCTGAACAGAATCAATACGACAGTCACAGGGACACGAGGAGCGGGGCTTTGGGCTAACAGTCCAAGCACATTGGTCGAATCATTCATCCACAGGAACAGCGGCACTGACAGCCAAGTCTGCAACACCCCCCGTGCTAAAATAAGAACATGTAGGCAGCAAGCCAACATACAACTGGCACAACTGGAAATAGGTGTTTAATGTAGACAAAATGCTTAAAACAAAAACATCCAATCTAGTTAGTAGGATTTTGGCCTTGGCAACAAAGACAATCCAATTTTAATACTGACTATAAATAAAAGTCTTATAAATGACTGGTCCAGGTATGAGTATTAGTACATTAGTATAAAGTCAAAGAGCTTAGCCTCCAATTCTGCAAAAAAATAAATGTGAACTTTAAAAAGGCCATTAGGTTTTTAAATAAATCTTACCACTGCTCTGAAGTTATTCCCAAGATACTTACAAACCGTTCTAACCATCTGGACAAAAAATAACCTTTGTGTTCCGTCATATAAAATATTTTAACGTATTTTCTTGTTATCCAAACAAGGATGGTAGTTAGAAATGTAAAGCTTCAATGATTAGTCAATTGTCAGAAATACCGTATTTCTGTAAGGAAACGAGGGTATTTATTTTCAGAGGAACTAAATGTCATGGTAATGAATGAAAGAGTGGTAAAACTGGGACTAAATAGTTTATTAAAGAATGAATTGCCTGATTTTATTTAATATCCTTTATAAGAATAGCTTCAATAATGGCATATAACCTTAAGTTCAACCAATCAAAGTAGTCTATAATACAATACTATTATAATCAAGACAAATAAATAAGAAATATCCATGAGGAATTAAAATATGATGCTGTGTTATGATGGTTTTTTTCGGATTTGCGTTAATCATTATAAAACTAATTGTGGCAGTTTATTGCGAAATATATTTAGGGCTACATCATCCAGCCCAAGTGAAAATAATCATTTATTAGTCTCACAAAAGAAAAAATGATATTGGTGTTGATGAAAACAGTCCTTAATAGTTAGTTTATAATAATTCAGTTTTGAACATAAATTGCAGTGTTTCGGTAAAGCTAGTGAATGAAATGTTGTTTCTTGTATTTATTTAGCCTAGATAATATTTTTTCCTCTCAAGATCTACTGACTGAACTCTCGTGGTTCACCTCTCCTTCTTTATCCTTGACGGCAATTACACCCCTCAAATTGCTGGTGGGTGTTGCCTCGCTCAAAGACTGGAAATGTTTTTTCCCTCATTCTTTATTTTTCTCGCCTCTTGCCTCTGAATGCCGTGATAGACAGTCTTTATGCCAAATAACAGGGTTTGGAAATAAGAGGCTGCCAAAGCATGTCCCCAGTTCCACTAATAGCGTGGAAATTGCAATTAATGTCCTTAATGGTCTTGAGTCAACCTTTTATCACGATTTGAGAAGGGCTCCACTTTAAAGAGCTATTTTTTCATTGTGATAATTTATTCTTTTATCAACCATCTCAGGGGTGTATTCTGAGATATATGAAAGGTCTGCATATTCTGTGTTTCATCTCTTCTGTTTATCTCACATTATGCCGTTTCCAGGAAAAATGTAGGG